GCAATGTGATCCATTCCAGGGGAAGCGTTGCAAGTCAGGAGCATCGTCACTTGAACCTGCATTTACGGTGGGCATCGTGCACCATCGTAAATGCAGGCCAAAGACATAAGTTGGGGGTTTCCAGCCCCTTCCACACTTACAAAAATGGTTGTAAGTATGGGGGGTCGGAACTCGAGTGGTCGCATGTTGGGAGGCCTCCTGTAAAAGCTAATTTAGACAGACAATAACTTCAGACCAAGGGTACACTTGCATAGCTAAAAGACAGGCTAGTTTTAAAACCAAGCAGATCCACGTCTCTCTACTCTGGCGCACGATGGTCAGAAATGTGCTCCCATTGAAATCAGCTACAAAACTTCCACTGATTTAAATGGGAAGAGGATTGAGCCCTGTGAGGTTTTTTGGGGGGTGTATTACTAGTTTGATTTAAGGAGCAATTTGAATAATAAGAGGTCAGTCCTTTAGTATGCACTTGAGGACTGCTCCGTCCAAGGGGAAACTGTGCTGTTTGCTTGGCGTCTGTGTCCAAGGCTAAGCAGCAGTGCAGAGAAAGGCCAGGAAAACTCGATGGAAAAATAAAGACCCCTGTCACTTGAGACTTTCATCCTCTTTTAGACTCAACTCTGGCAATTCCTATGTTGCTAAAGGAATGGATTTGCACGTTAAAAATGGTCCTAGTCCTTTTGAGCATTTATGGAGCTATGTTTATAGTGACAGCCATTACAACTGACTTGCTATCTATTCCCGTGGTCCTATCCCTCGGTTGTTATGGCAGAGAATTGTCAGAGAAGAGAGGGATGCCTGGGTCACGAAATGTACTCATAGAGAACCAGAGATTGGCAGCTTTGAAGAGGGGGTGCAAGACTCAGCTTTGCACTCTGCCGTTTGGTTCTGGGATCCATGTCTGGAAAAAGATTTCTCATTATGGAGAGAGACTGGGAGTGGTTTTTATGAGCACTTTGTGGCCATTATTGTTTCGTGCATCATTATTGTAATTGTGCCGTTCTGACAACGACGAGCCAGAGACACATCTCGAATTACATAGGAAAAAGCCCATCTATGTGGCTCGTAGAAAACATCTACAATTCCCCAAGAAGTGCTTCAGTTAGATTTTTTACTGCAGCCTCACTGAGGTTACCTGCCAGTTTTAAACCTTTCCACATTGGAAACATTACTATGGGATCATTAATCCTCTTTCATAATTCTCCAGGTTTCTAGTAAGGCCACTTCAATACTTCCTCATTTCTAAAGACAAAGTGCCCTCACTTTCATCTTTCTTAGTAGTGCACTCACTGAAAGCTAATGTCACTGTAATCCCTTTTGCTACTTCCTGTTTCAGGCAAGACTATTTCTCTGGGGCACTGTGATATGCATGATCCACGCAATTGATCTTGGTCTGATTTACAGTTTTGGATGGAAAACCTGGACATGAGAGCACTATATTTTGGTGAAGTAATATGAACTTTGTGTGGTTGCCATCTCCGTTTGTACTTATGGAGCTATAAAAGCCTGATCATTAGTAGTTTATCATAATCAAACTGAAAAAAGAAACCAAAAAACGCGGAAGATTTCATTAGATGCTATCAGTGTCTATAAAATCCACATGTGGCTGCATGGCAGCTCCATATTTACAGCTTTGTTTATGCAGCAAGAAGTTTTATGGATGTAACATTGTCCAGCTGGCCGAATGAGACTGATGCTAGAGTCATGATTATCATAGCTTTTCATTCCTTTTTATGACTGTAAAATTTATAAGGTGGATTGACTTTCACCTCGTGGAGCAGGAAAAAATGACTGAGTTTGTCTTTTAACCATATGACCCTATTTTTTTTTATCTATTGCCCTAACTTTCAAAGTTTCCACCCATGACAATGAGGGTCTCGTGTCATCCTTTTTTTTTTTTTTTTTTTTTTTTTTTTAAAGTTTGAACGCTTTATTCTTCTGAAAAAAGAAATACATGCAGAATGGCCATCAAACTGAAATACAGAACATGTCAGATGCTGGGACTGAGGTGATATAAGGCAGAATTTTCTGTTGGCAGATTCAGGAACTGAAAATAAATCCATCCCAATTTTAATGGGTCAGTTTATTGTAATACTTCCATTATGAAATGGTAATAAAAACATCACACATTCCCTGTGTCTTCCAAGATCCCTTCATTGGATGTAAAAGAATCTCAGACTGCGCACCGGGAGCAAAATTCATCTTGGGTGTAATTCTACCATTATGTTTCATTGTTAAGTAAATGTGGATGAAGTTCAATTAGAGAGAAAGAGTAATGAGGCTGTGGGCATTTCAAATTTTGTATAATATGCACACATGCAGCTTGAGCCTTCTCACACTTAAATCAATGACAAAGCTCTTGTGTCATTCACTAGATTTTTTTTAACACTAAACCTATCTCTAGAGGGTGACTGATATTGGGACAGCTGTAGCAGAGCAATTAGCCTGGAGCAGTTGGATGATCTCAAAGGTGGAGGGGAGGAGAGGGAGGGGACAGCTGAAAAGAATGATCATGTAACTAACAAGCTATGCACCCAAGATCACCATTAACATGTAGTCCTGTTTGTGTAGGGTCTGATCATGCAAGCACTTACGCACCAGAATCCCTTTACTCATCCAAGGAGTCCAGTGGATAATGCAACTTCTTGTGTGTAAAATTACTCATGTGCCTAGTTTCAGGATTGAACCATTAGGATATGTCTGTACTGCAATCAGGGAGTGCGAATGCAGCATGTCTAGGCAGACCCAAGCTACCTTTGATCAAGCTAGCTCTCAAAAAATAGCAGTATACGCATGGTGGCCTAAGCAGTGGAACAGACTAGCCATCTGAATACCATCCTGCCCCGAATCCTAGGAATGTACTTAGGGGGCTTGCCCAAACCTCCACCCCTGCTATCTCAATCTAATAAGTTGGGGGTTTCCAGCCCCTTCCACACTTACGAGCTTTTTTTTTTTTACCAGTACTTTTGAAAAAGCAAGCTGCTTTTTTGAAAGAGAGCACCCAGTCTGGATGCTCTCTTTCGAAAAAGCAGAGTTTGTATTACATAGCGCTGGTTTTTAGAAGAGCACTTTCAAAAAAAGGCGTTCTTCCTCGTAAAACGAGGTTTTCCGTGGTCGAAAAAACTGCCACGTTCTTTCTATTTACTTTCAAAAGACTGTGGCAGCAGTATAGATGCAGTGGAAGTTTTTTTTTTAAAAAAGGCCACCTTTTTCGAAAAAACCCTGTAGTCTAGACACACCCAAAGCTAGCTCACTTATGTCTGCATAGAGAGCAGTTGTGACCCCCAATTTGCACTGTAGACCTTTCTGAGGAAACCACCATCTATGTTCTGAGAGGCATTTGCAGTCACTGGCTAACTAATCTATGCAGCAGAATCATACCCCTCTTGTTCTAAACTTGTGCACTACATAGATTGAGTATAAATCACCTGTTTGCAATCGCCTTGGGGCCACCGAGGAAGAAAATCAATATTAGATTCTCACATTAAACTATTTTTAGTTGAAATGAAAATTTAATGAGAATTTTCACCCTGTTCCATTAAAAGAAAACCAGCTGTTTAAATTCATTTTTTTGTATGGTGTCTCCACGGGCAATACCAAACAAATGTTCTTATGTTTTGGAAGATTCAGCATGTTGAGAGAGAGAATCCCTTGCCTTAAAATGTGCTGTCCCCAGAATTCTTGAACTGTTCAAACTGGCAGAATGTTTACGTGAACAGATACAGCTATTTTGTAATTAAACCCAAGAACAAAATATGCAACGATATTGAAGTAAACGTTCTTCTTTCTATTTACATTACACACTAGAGAGCTAGCTGTCTCTCACACTGTCTCTTTCAGTGAAGAAATCCAGCCTCTTTTGGAAACTTGCGGGGTGTCTCATTTAATTTTTTCCTTCAATAAAATGAAAGGTTCAAAGTCACTTGAAAGCTAGACTGTTGGTCTAATCTTTTAATACCATGATAATTTTCCCACATGTCAAAAAAGGAGCGAGAGAGAAGATCTGGTCTTTGTTAGTGAAATCCATTTGTTTAAGTTTAAGATTTTAATGTACTTCATAAAAATACCTCTTGTTTAAATTCAAACTAATGCCCTGTACAATATTTATAAAAGTGCTGCTGGTGCTTGAAAAGCAGTAAGAAGAATATTGCAAACAGCTAAAAAACCGATCTAGCAAATTTAAAGTTGGAGAGTCCTGAACCAGAAAAGCAATGAGTTAATTCTCCTTTGCGCGTCAAGAAATGACCCTTTCCCGCAGAGAACTTAAGAATGATAGAGGCCAGCATGAAACAAAATTCTCGGTCTTTACAAAGGTTGCGTACAAATCACAGCTCTCTACGTTTTCAGAAACAGGCCAGTACTCCAAAACCTCTAGGGAAAACTTGTTGCCCAACCCTTCCCAGAGATCCTCAGAAATGAATGTTGTCATTAAACCAAATTTTGCCCTCTCTCTTAATCTGCTCAGAGTTGGCCTCATGAACCTGTAAGCAGCAGAATTACAGGTCTCCGTTCAGCTAGCAAACACTGTTACTTGTGAGAGAGGTAAATTGAGTGTAAAATATCATTTCTTTGCCCCTTTGACCTGTCTTTTTCAGTAAATGCATGCTGTACCCTATGCGCCAGCTGGAGCTCAAGACCACCTCTCATTTTAAGCTAGCAAAAGTTTGCAAAACACTTCCCGGTACAGGCAAAATATCCCCTTGCATGCCAAAAACATTACTCCCTGCAGGTGAGTGGGTTGCACAAGATTTCAGTATGATTTATCCCTGATGTAACTGAAACTTCACCGCAAGGTTGTGTTTTATGGCCCCGCCGTGTATTTTTCTTTTGTTTAAAAAAATATAACAGTACCTAGCTGCATAGGGAGATCTTGCTAAGTCAGGGGTGCTGTGTGCTCCACCTATGTGCAGCCCCAAGAGAGCAGTTTTTTGTATATGCTGGATGAGCTGTTTGCTCCTCTGATTAACGAAAAGGAAATCCCAAAGATATTTGCTACATACCTCTCGTTTAGACCCTTTGGTTCTATGATCCGTTGCCCCTCTCTGTGCTTGTACCTCAGGAGCTAAGATTCAATCAGTGAATTAAAGATGTGCATGATCTCATTTATATCCCAGATGTACTGGTGAGGGCAGTACCTCAAAAAGAGTTATTTTTCAGCCACTCCCTCTCGAACATCTACGTGCACAACGGAACTGCTGCCATCGTCTTGTAGGATTGTTGTACGGACACATCTACTATGTTCAGACAGCTGCTTCACATAGGTGAGATCTAGAAGACTCAGTGCACTGTGCTGAAAGAGGCAACAGCTGGAGCGATGTCCCTTGTCTTTTGTCTGTGGGAAATATAACCTAGTGCTCCATTGGTCAGCGCTATTTCGGGAAGAAAACCAACAACAATGATCTTATGGCTTCTTCTGTTTAGATGTTTAGCCTTTATCATTGGCAGATAATAACAGCTGAAAGGAAAGGCATTAAACTACTCTTGAACAGTACCACTCACACAGAAATCTCAAGGAGCTTTACTGACTAATTAGAGAATTTACACCATCCCTGTGAGGCAGGTCAGTATCATAATCTCCATTTTACAGTGAGGGAAACAGAGGCACAAAGTGGCGAAGGAACATGGTGTGTAGCGCAGCTGTGAACAGAAGCCAGGTGTTTGATGCCTAAACCTTTGATCTAGCTCCTGACACTTCTTGACACCTCTATGTTGTATTGTACATTAAAGTCAACAGGAAATAGTGATGAATGCATCTGAATTTCTGGTTCTTCGAAAGACTTTGGAGCTTCTCTTCCTTCCAATCTCCAAAGACAAACCCTTGCTTTCCTTCCACTCTTGAGTTCTCCTTCCTCCTTCCAAGTGTTGTAATCCATTCCTGCCACTGTCATCTGCCTGTGTCGTACCACATCATGGTGGTAACAACTTCTGAGCTGATTTTATTCCTTCTTCTTAATAGCAGAATATTCTGTCATTGTGTTAAGGTTATACGGGCAATGCTCTAGTTCTTGGGTGGAAGGCACAATGTAAGTGCAAAGAACTGCAAAGCACTAGTGCATGTGTGCATGAACGTGATTGTGCATATGCTATTCCATAATGCAGGGCAATGCCTATAGAAAGAGAGGTGCTCACCAGATCCTACAGTATCCTCCAGAGTAGAGGAGTTTCATTCATGTAGGACTAGGTTGGGTAACCCCTATTCATGCTTGTAGTAGTTACCTAAACGAGAGGGATACTTCTCTAAGTAAGTTCTACTCGGCATGAGTAAGGGTTGCACTAAGTAACCCTAAGTGAGCCTAGTCCTCAGTGCTTTTGTGTGAAGAACATCCATTGAGTTCCATGATAGCAGAAGAGCCCATAGAATAATGAACACTTTCCCTGGCTTTCAGCCCACAGACTGCTCTGTGTGTTTTCACCGCTCAGAAAGGTAAATCAGTCATATTCAGCAGCACACAGATTGCAAGAGCTTGTAAATTGTCACTAACCCCCCCGCAACTGCACACGTACAAAATCAACGTGCTCTGTATCTCCCAGAGGTGGTAACAAGGAAGCAGAGCAAAATTAACTATCGAACCAGATTGATCTTCAAAGGAGATAAAAGGAACTAGAGAATAATTTTCAAGAGTGGGGTGACAAGGACATTTGTTCAGCATTTGCGCTTTCAGGGGCTGAACTACTGCTTGCTAGCAGCCAGCTAAATGGGGAGAGCTTCCCTGGGTATGCTCACTCAAATTGAGTAGCTCTGCAAGATAATTAACTGTTAACTGTCGATATGTAAATACAGCTCATGCCGGGATGGAGAAGGAATCTGAGGTGTGGTTATGTAAATCCAATTCAGCCAGGGCTGATGGAGGATCAGTTGTTAGACTGGAATGTGATGTATTGCAACTAATTTGGGCTGTGGTGAGGGTCACAAATCATGCTACCCCTAAATGTGCGAACTGTAAAATATGAAACCAGTGCTTGCAGGAGAGACACCATCATTGTAAGAGGTCTCAAATGAACAAGCCTCCCCCTTCCATAATTGAGTGAACAGAGTTGGGGGGAAAGGGCTTGAGCCAGCCTGCTTCATGTCTGCCAGATGTGAGCTGTAAGACTGGTTCAACCTGCCTCCCCTCTCCCTTGTTTTAAGGATAGACCTAAAGCAGACTCCATCAGCAGTCTTTTTGTTAGTCCAGTGGAAGCTAGAATCTTTTGCCTGCCTAGGTGTTGGCTAAAGAGTTGAAATCACTAAGAGCTGAAGTCATTGGTTTGGCCTGGAGTCAGACCCATTGCAGCCAGCAAGATTGCTGGTGAGAGCGACCGGCAGATGGCTGGTAGGAGCGGCGGGAGGCAGCAGGCCGGGGCAGTGGGGGGGGGGGGGGGAGCTGGCCAGAAGAGTGGCTGGTGGGAATGACCGGCGGGCGGCCAGTAGGAGTGGAAGCAGGTGGTGGCAGCAGACCACAGGAGCAACACAAAGGTGGCATGGCCTCAGGCTCAAAGAGTGGAATCATCAGGGTGATGTGTCAGGGACCACACTGACTGGACAGAGCTGTAAGTGGGGTACGGAGAAGGTTTGGGTAAATGAATGGAACCCTTACATTGTTGGACTAGTGAACCTGAGGGGCAAAAGACATTGCTCAATCCATTTGAGCTGGACTGGTTACTCGTCTGAGGGGCAAAACTATGTTTGTGGTATTTTTCCGAGCTACTGCCATGTAAGGGTATGTCTACACTTGTGCCCTCTTTTGAGAGAGGGATGCAAATGAAGACATTCGAAATGGCAAATGAAGCTGGGATTTAAATATACCACACTTCATTTGCATATTAGCGTTATGGCGCTATTTTGAAATAGCGCTATTTCGAAATATCAGATGCTGTTAAGACGCGGTTATTTCGAGAGAAAACCCTTCTCTTGAAATAACCCTTATTCCTGCATCTAGACTGCTGCTGTATTCTTTCAAAAGTAAATTGAAAGAACGTGGCAGTTTTTTTGACTGTGGAAAACCTCGTTTTATGAGGAATAATGCCTTTTTTCGAAAGTGCTCTTTCGAAAAAAGGCGCTTTGTAATGCAAACTGTGCTTTTGGAAAGAGAGCGTCCAGACTGCCTGGGTGCTCTCTTTCAAAAAAGTGGCTTGCTTTTTCAAAAGTACTGGTTGTAGTCTAGACGCTCTTTTTTGAAAGAGGCTTTTTTGAAAATATCTTTTGAAAAAGGTTCTTTCAAAAAAGACTTGCAGTCTAGACGTAGCCTGATGTTTACCAGTTATTTCGAGAGAAGGGTTTTCTCTCGAAATAACCATGTCTTAACAGTGTCTGGTATTTCGAAATAGCGCCATAACACGAATATGCAAACGAAGCATGGGATATTTAAATCCTGGCTTCATTTGCAATTTTGAATGTCTTCATTTGCATCCCTCTCTCGAAAGAGGGTGCAAGTGTAGACATACTCTCTCTTCTCTCCCTCTTTCATTAAAAGTTTCTTTTCTACACTCAGACTCTATGCTTGCGAGTGCGGAAGCATCGCCTCTCAGAGTCGCCCAGGGGTGTGTGAATTTCCCATGCTACTGAGTGGAAGCTGGAGCCAGTCTGTGTGAGATGGATGAAAAGGGACCCCTAGATATTGAACCCAGCCCTGGCTGCTGCTGGTATGATGTATGGTAGAAGCTCTTTGGGCTGTGGTTCACCTCTTGCCAGCATTATGGTCAGTAACGTGAACTAAGATTTTTAAAGATTCCAGTAGGTTATGAAAAGTGTTTTGCAAAAAACCCCAAAACCAACCAACCAAACACACCTCTTTCTTAGAATCATAGAACCATCGAGCTGGAAGAGACCTCAGGAGGTCATCAAGTCCAGCCCCCTGCTCTAGGCAGGACCAATCCCAACTAAATCAACCTGGCCAGGGCTTTGTCAAGCTGAGACTTAAAAACCGCTAGGGATGGAGACTCCACTACTTCCCTAGGTAACCCATTCCAGGGCTTCACCTCTCTCCTAGTGAAATAGTTTTTCCTAATATCCAACCTGGACCTCTCCCGCCACAACTTGAGACCATTTCTCCTTGTTCTGCCATCTGTCACTACTGAGAACAGCCTCTCTCCATCCTCTTTGGAACCTCCCTTCAGGAAGTTGCAGGCTGCTATCAAATCCCCCCTCAGGGTACGTCTACACTACAACGTTAATTCGAATTAACTTAGTTCGAATTAGTTAATTTGAACTAAGATAATTCGAACTAATGCATCTAGAACTAAAAACTAGTTCGAATTAGTGTTTTGTTTGTTTTAAACCCACTACCTATTTAATATGTGAATGTTCAATCATGCAGTCCCTGAAGAGGAACACTGCCATGTGGCTTATCTGACCAACACCATCTGATCAGCACAGCTCAAATATGGAGTATTGACAAATAGACTCATAGACTTTAAGGCTGGAAGTAACCATCATAATCAGGGCTCGTCAAGCTGCGGTGAGCCCCGCTTGCCAGCTGCATGGTTTGGCACGCTGCGCGTGCGCAGACCATGCTGTGCGGCTGTGTCGGCTTGTAATCTACTCACCACGGGTGACTAGATGACATTAATTGTCGAGCTCTGATCATGATCGTCACATTGCATGCCACGGACCCTTACCCACCCACTTCTGTAACTTCTGGCAGTGTCACAGAAGTCCTCAAATCTTGATTTAAAGACTTCAGGTCACAGAGAATCCACCATTTACTGTTGTTTAAACTGGTAAACGATTTGTGCCGCAAACTACAGAGAAAGGGAAACAATTCCCAGGGTCTTTATCAATTGGGCATGGGGAAAAATTCCTTCCCACCCCCAAATATGGTGATCAGTTAGACTCTGAGAATGTGGCAAGACCCACCAGCCAGACATCTGGGAAAGAATTCTCTCTAATAACTCAGAGCCCTCCAGAAATTGTCTCATATTTGCTAATTGCAGTCCCAGATGGGCCAATGGCAGACAAAACTAATTGTGCAGCAACAAAGGGAATCTGTGAGAAATGTATTTAAAAACTGACAAAAGAAGTAAAATATTATGTGACCTTCCATAAATATGGTCAACTGAAGGAAAAATTGTTTGTTGATAATGCAGATTTCATTGGTTCAGTTAGTCACAGTGAATAATTCAAGCTTGTCTGGACACAGAACTGTTTGTGGTCATGGAAGAGAGTACAAACCCAGTCTCAATAAAACCCTGTTAATTACCTTTGAATAATGAATTTGAGG